AGAAGTGGGAGAAGGAGGAGAAGGAGGAGATGGAGGAGAAGGAGGAGAAAAACTCTATTCAGTGGAGATTCCATAGAGGTCAGGCCTTAACCACAAGCTGAGCTATCCCTAGCACGAAGGCCCATTCAGACCAGCCACATCAAAGCTTAGGCTTCAAAGGGATCAAGCTGACTTGCAAGTAACTTAGGTACCTGTTAAAACAGAGCCCAGCATTATTTTAAAGGAAGACAACAAAATTGAGACTCTCAACAATGTAACATTCACAAAATCTAGCATCCAGTCAAAACTTACTATATATACCAAGAAGCAGAAAAACGTGACCCATGGTCAGAAGAAAAATGAGTCAATAGAAGTGTACCCAGAAATAACAGAAATGATGGAACTAGTACACAAATATGTCAAAACAGTTATCACAAGTATGTTTGAAGTATTTATGGGAAAAGATTATCATAATGAGAAGAAAAATTGAAAATACAAAAAAGAATTAAGTGGAACTTCTCAAGGGGAAAAAATATAAGTCTAAAATGAAAAATTCATTAAATAGGATTCCCAGGAAATCAAACACTGCAGAAGAAAAGCTCATTGGCCCTGTAGTTATAGCAGCAGAATTTATCTAAAGTGAGGCACAGAGAGAATAAAAAAGCCTGGAGGGAAAAATGAGAAGAGCTTAGTGACCTGAAAAAAGACATTAAATGGTCTAACATATATGTAATTGAAGTTCAAGAAGGAGAGGGGAAGAGAGAGAAAGTAACAGGAAATATATTTGAAGAAATAATGGCTGGAAATTTTCTAAATTTGATAAAAACAATAAACCCACAGATCCCAGAAGCTCAACAAACCCCAATCAGAATAAAGGTAAAACTCCACACCAAAGTATATCATAATCAAATTGCTTAAACCAGTGATAACAAGAAAATCCTTTTTATTTATTTATTTATTTATTTATTTTTATTGTTATTTTTATTTTTTTTAATTTATTTTTGAGATGCAGTCTCGCTCTGTCGCCCAGGCTGGAGTGCAGTGGCACGATCTCTGCAAGCTCCGCCTCCTGGGTTCACGCCATTCTCCTGCCTCAGCCTCCCGATTAGCTGGGACTACAAGTGCCCGCCACCATACCCGGCTAATTTTTTGTATTTTTAGTAGAGACAGGGTTTCACCATGTTAGCCAGGATGGTCTCAATCTCCTGGCCTCGTGATCCACCCACCTTGGCCTCCCAAAGTGCTGGGATTACAGGCTTGAGCCACTGCACCCAGCTGGAAAATCTTAAGAGTACACAAGAAAAAAAGACATGTTACATACAGATAAATTATGACAAAAATTCACAGATTTCTCATCAAAAACTATGCAAGTCAGAAGACAATGGAACCTCTGTAAAGTACGGAAAAAAAAAAACTATCAACCTAGCATTCTACATCCAGCAAAAATACCCTTTAAACAAAACAAAACAAAAAGAAATAAAAACTCTCAGGCAAACAAAAGCTGAGAGAATTTGTCACCAGCAGACCTGTACTACAGGAAATAGTAAAGGAAATTTTTCAAGTGAAAGATACATGATACTGGGTGGAAACGTGAATCAACACAAAGGGCTAAAGAGTGCCAAAGATGGGAAATATGTCAGTAGATGTAAAAGGTTTTCCCCTCATTTTTCAACTTCTTAAAAATATACCTATTTAAAGCAAAAATAATATCAATGTATGGGGGTTTATAAGGTAGATAAAAGCAAAATATATTAAAACAATATCACACAAAATAGAATGGGGAATGGAAGTATTTCTAAGTTTCTTACATTATCTGTTGTAATTTATTTTTGTTGTGTCAATTAAGCTTAGCTACATTTCTTGGAATTCCTTTCTCTATATAGTTTTGATTTAGCGTGGATCACTAGAGACATTTGCACAACATTTGCAAGGTAGAGCAAAGCAGTAGCTGCTTACATTTTGATTTTGTTCTTGTTTTTTTGTTGTTTTTTTTTTTTTGTCTCAGAAAGCTGGGGCAGGGACACCAGGTGCTGCTGCAGCTCACATATATTGTCACTTAACTGCTGGGTCACCTCATTGTCATGAGGCAGCAGCTGGGCCCACAGCTCTCCCAGTTCCCACTAGGTCATCCTTCAATGTCCCTGACTCCTGACCCAAGTGTGTGTTTAGCTTCATGTTGAAAAGCCTCACCCTCTCTTATAGGTTATGTTATCATTGAAGTTGGCCTCATGGAAGAGGTGAGAGATGGCACGCAAGTTCTAGTCTGTTGCAGCTCTTTTCCTATTCTTTCCCAATTTAAATACATCTCCCCTTCCCAGTTACCTCCTCTGCACTGTCAGTATAGCAGCACCAGACACACAAAAAATAGCCTTTTATAGACTGTTTAGCCAACTCCATATCATTGTATAAGGACAATTTGCTATAATAAAGCTCTCTCAGCAGTTCTGTTTCTCTGATTGAGCCCTGACTGACAAATATGTAAAATGGCATAATGTTTTGTGAACATTATAAGTTAAAGAGCATGTTATTATTATTATCATTATTATTATTATTTTGGAGTCAGGACCTCCCTCCATTATCCAGGCAGGAGTGCAGTGGCATGATCATGGCTCCCTGTAGCCTCAACCTCCTGTGCTCAAGTGATCCTCCTGTCTTAGCCTCCTGAGTTGCTGGGACTACAGGCATGAGCCACACACCAGGATCCTAAAGATGCATATCATTAACCCTAAAGCAACCACCAAAAAAAAAATAGTAAAAATAAAATGGAATCATTTTTTAAAAATAATTAATCAAAAGGAGCCAAAATGGAAATTAAGGAACAAAGAGGAGATGGGATAAACAGAAGGCAAATAGAAATATGGAGTATTTAAACCTAATCATATCAATAATTACATTAAAAGCAAATTATCTAAATAGTTACATTTAAAGATGGAGATTGTCACATTGGAGTTTAAAAAAAACAAGACCTAGTTATATGCTGTCTACAAGAAACCCACTTTAAATATAAAGACACAGATGAGTTAAATACAAAAAGATGACAAAATATATACTAGGAAAACACTAATTTTAAGAAAGCTGAAGTGGCTATAATAACACCAAATATAGTAGACTTAAGAACAAGGGTTATTATCAGAGATTAAGAAGGACATTTATTAATGAAAAAGGGATCAATTAATCAAGAGGATGTAACCCTTCTAAATATGTATGCACCTAATAACAGAGCTTCAAAATACTTCAAGCAAAAACTGACACACCTGAAAAGAGAAACAGACAAATCCATACTTAGAGTCTGAAATGTCAACATTTCCATCATTGATAGAACAGGTAGACAGAAAGTCACCAAGGATCCAGAAGACTTGAACACTGTCAACCAACTTGAATTAAGTGACATTTATAGAACACCCCACCCAACAACAGAGTACACAGTATTTTCAAGGGCACACAAAGCATGCACCAAGATATGCCAAAGGCTGGGCTGTAAACAAGTCTCAATATATTTCAAAGGATTGAAGTCACCACACTGATTCTGGAGAAGAAAAAAAAAAAAAAAAAAAGATAAAAGAATACACAAGTTCTTTCAAAAAGAGCAATTTTCTATATGATGAAAATGAGTCATCTTTGCTGCAGAAGAGTGATAGCGATGGATTACTCTAGTGTGCCTTAAGACTTAACTTCTTTCAAACCAGGCCATGAATCAGATGGGACTTCCAGGCCGGAGGAGCATGTCACTGGAGGACTTTCAAAGAGAAGGCGCTGATAATAGTGGCTTTAAAGAAACCGGCCAGTATATAGCCAGTTCCCTGAGTTCCTGTGATAAATCCCACTCCTGTACCTCCTCTTGGGTGTCCTCTGGGCAGGGCACCTTAGTGTGTCCAAAACCAAATGAACAGCATGTCCCCAGCCTCCCAGAGCCTCCACCTTTATATAACCTCCTTCTCAAAACAGTTGTTTATCCTGAATGATCCAGCTTAGTTAAGACACCACCCAGAAACTTACAGGTATCTTCAACTCTGCCTCTCCTTCAGTCTCCGCTTGGTTAGTCAGTCACTGAGCCCTGTGGAGTCTCTCTCTCATTGATCTCTCCAACCCATCTTCTCTTCCCTCCTCACCGCCACTACCAAGTCCAAGCCCCTTCTCATTTCTTATCATCTTCTCCAGCCTCCTCATCCCTCCCCTGCAGCTGGTCCTGCCTCCCCACCACACTCGGCCCCGCTGGCCAATGGACTCTCAACTTTGTTTTTCAGGTCTTAAAAGTCACACAACAGTACCTATACCATGTCAAAAAATGTTTAATACAAGCAAGCAAAACTCAAAAACACATTAATAAATAGAAGTAAAAACAAATTTTAACTTAAATCAAAAGCCCATCACCATCCAGCAATAACCAATGTTAACATTTTGGATCACCAGCCTTCTGACCCTTTCCTAAATGTTCATTTATGTTTTTCTTTTTTCTATTTTTTTTTCCAAGACAGAGTTTTGCTCTTGTCTCCTAGGCTGGAGTGCCGTGGCACAATCTTGGCTCACTGCAACCTCCACCTCCCAGGTTTAAGCGATTCTCCTGCCTCAGCCTCCGGAGTAGCCACCACAACCAGCTAATTTTTGTATTTTTAATAGAGATGGGGTTTCACCACGTTGGCCAGGCTGGTCTCAAACTCCTAACCCCGTGATCCGCCTGCCTCAGCCTCCCAAAGTTCTGGGATTACAGGCGTGAGCCACCACACCTGGTCACATTTATGTTTTTCACCAAATGGGATTGTTCTAGACATACAACTAGGGTGGCCAGTTCACCTGGGACTGTCCTGGCTTTTGCACTGAAGCTCCTGTGATCCAGGAAACCACTCAGTCCTGGGCAAACTGGGATGGTTGGTCTCCCTACAACTTTTCTGTTTAAGAGATTAGCACCTTTTGATGTTAATAATAGACAGCTATGTCTTCATTTTGATGACTATAGGAATACCAGTGAATATAAATATATAAGTGGTCTTTTAAAGGTAAAAAACCTGCTGTCTTCCACTTACCATCCCTTCATGCACCCCATGGTATTAAGCAGTAAGCTCCAAAGTGGGGAGGAGGGGAATCCGGGGACACATAGGAAAAGCCATTGGCCTAGGGAGAAAGAGTAGCAGAAGTTCTGTTTATATGTATTCCTTTTTTTCTCATCATAGCTCACTGTAGCCTTAAACTCCTGGGCTCAAGCAATCCTTCTGCCTCAGCCTCCCGAGTAGCTAGGACTACAGGTGTGTGCAACTATGCCTGGCTAATTTTATTATTATTATTATTACTATTATAGAGATGGGGTCTCCTTATGTTGCCCAGGCTGGTCTTGAACTCCTGGCCTCAAGTGATCCTCCCACCTTTGCCTCCCAAAGCACTGGGATTACAGCTATGAGCCACCATGCCCAACCTACATGTATTTTTTTATCTCATGTTTTTCATTTTTCTATTTTTGTGTGTCTTATAGTGTACATGATACATGTGTACAGTAGTGCACGTACATAACTTAGTGATAAATAAATCTCCATATAATGGAGGGTTTATTTCCAGCATGCTTCTAAAGGTTGGAAACACTAGCCCAGCTGATAAAATATTTCCTCTTTAGCAGTCCTGGAATGTCCAGCATAGTCAAGGCTTTGCTTCTCCCTCCAGTTTCACCTGCCACCTCCCTCACTGATACAGTTTGGCTGTGTCCCCACCCAAATCTCATCTTGAATTGTGGCTCCCATAATTCCCATGTTTGTGGGAGGGACCTGGTGGGAGATAATCGAATCACAGAGGTGGTTTCCCTCATAGTGTTCTCGTGATAGTGAATAAGTCTCATGAGATCTGATGATTTTTATAAGGAGAAACCCCTTTGGCTTGGTTTTCCTTCTGTCTTGTATGCTGCCATGTAAGACGTGCCTTTTGCCTTCTGCCATGATTGTGAGGCCTCCCCAGCCACATGGAACTGTGAGTCCATTAAACCTCTTTTTCTTTATAAATTACCCAGTCTCAGGTATGTCTTTATCAGCAGCATGAAAACGGAGTAATACACCCATCCCGCCGCAGGCAACACCAAACCATATCTGTTCCCTGAATATCCGTATTCTCCTCTCCAAGCTGTTCCCCTCCAAGAGGTTCCCATCACCCCACCCCATTCACTCCTGGCTAACCTCTGCAGTTCCTCCATTGCAGCTCACAGGATAACCCAGGTCAGATACCACCTCTGCCAGGAAGTCTTTCTGGAACACTCCTCCTCTCACGCCCATCCCATCCAGGTTAGGTGCCCTTCCTCTGCGTTTCCATAGCACCCTGTGCTTACCTGCACCACAACGCTGACCACATGACTTAGTAATTACCTATTTAACCCTTTGTGACTTCCCCTGATTCCCTGGTGGCCGCCCAGCCCAGCGCCTGTCACACAGCCGTCTCCTAGTAAATGGTGAAAGAATAAACAAACAATAATTGCAAACATGTATATAACACTTTCCAAATGCACGACACTGATTACAGATCAGGAAACAGAGGCACAGAGAAGTCAAGGTACTTGTCAGGGTCACAGAACTAAGTGGCAGAGCTGGGCTTTGAACCCAGGCAAACTGCCTTCAGAGTCCATGCTATCCATTGTTATGCTATGACGTCACTCAGCAGAAGAATGAATGAATAAATGAAGAACAAATAAAGAGAGGAATGAAGGAACAGATGAATGAACAAAGGAATAAGTAAAGGAATGCCCAGGGGCCTGGTCCCAGGCTGCTTTGCAGACATCAACCAATTGCACTGTCTTTAAGTTGCCTTTGTCATTGTCCATCTAATGCCATTTTTCATATTTTAGTTGCTGCTTGTGGAGGCACCAGAAGTTTGTCCCTCCTCCCCCCTCACCCCTGTACCAGTATCAACCAGACCTCCCTCCCTTCCTAACTCCCCCATTGCAGCTCACAGGGTAATGAGCATCAGAACTACAGGATCACGACATATTAGAGCTGGAAGGTACACTTAGCACTATCCAGTCCAATCTTGCATTTTGTAGATGGAAAAATGGAGGCCCAGAGAGGCAAAGCAACTTCCCCAAGGTCACACAGTAACTTAGTGCAGAGTCAAGAGTGAGCCCAGTCTCCTGGTTTTCCATCTGTCTCCCTTTAGTAAGCTGTCTCTGTTTATTGCTTGAGCTTTGTCAATCAAAAGCAATTTGGGGCAAAGCACAACAGATGGGTTTAGTGAGTTCTCAAATGCACTGTTGAGAAAAGTTCCTGGGAATAGGGAGGTGAGAAATGCAAGGTCAAGGCCCTGCAATTTCCTCCAAGCAGATAAATAAATAACCAAAACCATCACTGAGGACTCACCATGTGCTCGATGCTTCCCTGCATTATCCCATGTCGGCCTCCGACACAGAGTAACTATCCTGGCTTTAGATAAGAGCAAATTGAGGTTCAGAGACGTAAACAGAGCGACCAGCTCATCCCCAGTTTCTTGGCACTGTCCCAGTTCTAAAACTGAAAGTCCCATGTATTGGGAACCCCTTTAGTCCCAGGCAAATCAGGACAGTGGGTCACCCCCAAGGTAAGCAGCCTGCCCAGAGGACTGGATCCCAGAGATCCAAACTCAGATCTGCTGTGGACTCCCATCCCCTTTCTCCTACACCACGCTGCATCCTCTGGGAAAATACATAAACTCTCAAGGGAAAAATAAACAGATACGCCGGTGGGGTCAGGAGCGGGAAGTGGGAAGTGGGCCAGAGGAGGGTGGGCATCAAGCGGCAGCTCTGAAGTCAGGTCAGCCCTGGGGCACTGCAGCCCAGCCATCTGGGAGATAGAATGCTACTGGGTGTTGGGCCAGGGGAGGACAAACAAGGTTCTTATTCTTCTCTCTTTATCTGGAGGACTCTGTTTACGGCAATAACCCTGTTATCTCAGCCAGGTCTCTGGTCTCTTGCCAGGAGGTGACAAGGGGTTTAGGGGCTGAGCCTCTGACCAAACCAGTCTCCCTGGGACCCTGGCATGCTCTCCCTTCTCATCTGACAACCTGATTGGGGTTGAGGAGGCATGGTGAGCACCACAGGGCAGGGGACCCCTGCCCACTCGTGGAGGCCACAGGGAGATCAGGATGCCACGCTTGGACAGTGGATTTCCCTGTCCTCGGGAGGGAATTTCAGAGTAGCTGACCGCCTGCTGGGAGCCAGACTCCTGACTGCTGTGGTCTCTTTCAGCCTTCTCCTCCCTAAAGCACTCAGACAGGCATCCTCACCTCCACCTTACAGAAGCGGAGGGGATGTCCCTTAGAGAAGTCACATAGCATGTCGGTGACACAGGGCGGCCAAGGCACAGCAGTGACCCCAACTCTCCCTGCCTCCCAAGCCTCCGCATGAGGCTGTAAAACAGTGGCGGAGACACAGACTGTGTCCTGGCTGTGTGTCTGTGTGACTTGCTTCCCACACCACACCTGCCTGGACACCTCTCCTGCCCGGACCCTTCTCCTGCCCGGATACCTCTCCCCGCTGGATACCTCTCCCCGCTGGACACCTCTCCACGCCGGACACCTCTCCCGCCCGGACCCTTCTCCCGCCCGAACACCTCTCCCGGCAGGACACGTCTCCCCGCCGGACACCTCTCCCCGCCGGACACGTCTCCCGCCCGGACACCTCTCCCCGCCGGACACGTCTCCCGCCCGGACACCTCTCCCCGCCGGACACGTCTCCCGCCCGGACACCTCTCCCGCCCGGACACCTCTCCCCGCCGGACACCTCTCCTGCCCGGACACCTCTCCCCGCCGGGCACCTCTCCCCGCCGGGCACCTCTCCCCGCCGGACACCTCTCCCCGCCGGACACCTCTCCCGCCCGGACACGTCTCCTGCCCGGACATCTCTCCCGCCCGGACACGTCTCCCGCCCTCCTCCACAGGGTGATTTGTCCTCATCTTGGGACCTCAAGCGTGGCCTCCTCTGACCCTCCAGCTGGGGTGAGTGCTCCTGTCTTAGAACTCAGGGTGGCCTATGCTGAGGCAACCACAGTTCGTGGGGATTGGGGTGTAAAAAGCACCTGCCTGACCCCTTCTGCACGAAGACCCCGAGAGGACAGGAACTGACTCTGTATCCCAGCACTGATATATTAGGTTGGGGCAAAAGTAATCACATTAAAAGTAATGGCAAAAAACTAAAATATTAAGTAGATTTTGCCATTACCTTTTTTTTTCTTTTTCTTTTTTTTTTTTTTTTGAGACAGAGTCTCACTCTATTGCCCAGGCTGGAGTGCAATGGCGTGATCTCGGCTCACTGCAACCTCCGCCTCCCCGGTTCAAGCGATTCTCCTGCCTCAGCCTCCCAAGTAGCTGGGATTACAGGTGTGTACCACCACGCCTCGCTAATTTTTATATTTTAGTAGAGATGGGGTTTCACCATGTTGGCCAGGCTGGTCTCCAACTCCTGACCTCATGGTCCGCCTGCCTGGGCCTCCGAAAGTGCTGGGATTACAGGCGTGAACCACCGTGCCCAACCTGACATTACTTTTAATTGTAATTCATGCAATTACTTTTGCACCAACCTAATATATCAGTGCTGGGGACAGGGAGTCACTTCCTGTCCTTTTAACTTGCATTAAAAATAATGGCAAAAGATACTTAATATTTACTTGTTGCACAAATAAGTAGATTAATTAATTGCCAAATACTCTTGAGGTCCAACTTCAATCAGGTGGCATCCTGCAGGCAACGGCCCACCTAAAAGTCTTCCAGCTGCTGCCTCTGTTCCATCCCCTCCCCCACACTTCCATTGGCCCTCCTCTGTTACCACTTGACTCAAAGTGTGGTCCCCAGATCCACAGCACCAGCATCACCAAGAGCTCATTGGAAATGCAACAACTCGGTCCCTGTCCCACCAGGCCCCGGGGCCCTTGGCTAAAAGCTTGAAAACTGTTAGAAATCGTGATATGCTACCTTAGGTGATCCTTGCTAAAAGACCTACTGTGTGCTGGTGTTATTCCCATCGCTACAGATGAATCTGGGCTTCAGGGAGGGGAAATAGCTTCTCAAGATTAAACAGCCAGGAAATAGTAGAGGTATGATTCAAACTTGGGCTTGTCTCTCTTCAAAGCGGGTGGAAATTGACGCTGCTATCCATGTGGTGAAAGGAGGAGAGAAACCTGCATTTACTGAACACCCACAATGTGCCAAGTTCTGTACGACTCTTGTCTCGTTTCATCTTCCCGACTCCCTTATGAAGTAGGGGATCGCACATTCTTGTTTTACAGATGAGACTCCGAGGCTCAGGAAAGGGAGGTGACTTGCCCAAGGTCCACAGCTGGGGAACAGCTGAAATGGGGCACAAAGCTGGAAGTCTGCTCCTCACCCTGGGGAACGGACACCAGGTGATGATAGATAGTGTCCTCGCACGGCAGCAGGCACTGGCTCTCAGGGGACTGCGGGGTCACTGCTCGGCTCACACCTGTCCTTTCCCTCCCCTGAGAGAGCTTGTGGCCTTGGGCCACATCATGCTTTCTTTTTCCTCCTAACCCTCAGCCCTCAGCTTAGTCACTATCCAGCTCTGATGGAGCACAAATACATGCTGCTGGTGGCGACTGGCTACCAAGGTGGGATGTCACCCTCCCAGCTATTCCCATCACTTGTCCTGGCAGGTGCCAAGAATTCCTGAGGTCACCTCAAGGCCCCTTCCTGCATTCCTAGCGTTCTTGGGGCCTTTCTGGCCCCACATGTGAACCTCTGCTGCAGGCTGAGCTCACAGGCGAATGCATCACGCCGTGGTGACCGGGGCAGGAGAGTGGGATCAGTGAGGCCCTGCCTGCTCTGGATGTGAGACTTCGGCAGATTCCTTTGCCTCTCTGCCTCAGCCTCTCTGTCTCTGAGAGGGGCGGGTAATAATCAGACCTCCCAAGGTGTTTGTGAAGAGCGTTCAGGGTGCGTGGAAGTGGCTAGGCCTTTTATATCTCTCACTGCCAGCAATCAAAACATGGCCCAGGACTGTCTGATGGGTCCGCCAGTGGGAGTGGGCAGCACATGAGCTTCCATTTGTATGAGCAGCTCGCAGGGACGGGGGTTGCTCAGAAGGAGAGGAGGGAAATGGGATTGGGCCCAGTGTGTGCCACATGAAGAGGTGGCTGTTGGGAGACCCAGGCAGGGGCTGGGCAGTGCTGCCCAGGGAGGAATATTTGCCCCAAATCTGCAGAGAACACAGCTCCATGGCCCCAGGGAAGGAGGGGAGCTTCAGAAAACAGTTTCTTGGATGAATCTCCACATTTCCACAAAGGACACCAGCCACAGTGGCCAGACCTGCTTAGTGACCTCAAGGGCAAAGAGCATAGAAGAGGAGAGGGGTGGCCAAAAGAAAGGAGGACCAGGCAGGGGCTGGTGGTGGTTGTGGCTGGGACTTGTGAGCACTCAGGACACACTCAACTCCCAGACCTAACCAGGTCAGGTTTTGCAGAAGCCAGACATGTAGGAGAGCACCTGGCAACCAGATCCACTGAAATTGGGTGGGTACTATTAATGCAACCCATTTACAAGCACACACTAGGGATGGCTAGAGAGATGGCACTGCATAGAGGAGGCACACACCAGGAGGAGATGGCAAGGGCTCCGGACACACAGCCGCCAGAGCCCACGTCTAGCCGGGGCTGTGAGCCCTGCAGCCTGTGTTCACCTACTTACCCTTGTCCAGACCTAGATACAGGGCAGAAAGGCACGCCTAGGGGAGCCCCAGTGAAGTCCTTATAAAGTGAAGACTTCTTGGTGAGTCAGCCTGAGCCAGGCGGGCCCAGCTCATTCATTGCGAAGGTATTTTCTTTTCAGTGTTTTTCTGCAAAGCCTTTCACTGCCACAGAGGTGAAGTCATCTGCTGGTAAACTCTCTGCCTTGCGGTAAATTTCCTCTGAACTTTCTGCTTCTGTTTAACTCGCCAAACCTCAAGGGGAGCTGGCAGTCAGAGTCGTGCAAAGGTCACTGGGCTGAGTCGGAGGCCTGGGTTTAAATCCCAGCCCAGCCCCTTTCTAGTTTCGGGATCTTGATGGATGTAAGTCACATCTTTGGGCCTCAGTTACTCTGTTTCTAAAATGAAGTCACTACTATCGAAAATATCCTAAAGAAATACAACGCTATACACTCATGTAATCAGTAAATATTTATTGGGTTCTTAGTGAGTGTCAAGCACCATGCCAGACAATGGAAAGTATTAAGGAAACACACATACACACATGAATACACACACATATACACATGTACACACATGTGCACATACATACACACACACATATACAAGCATGTATATGCGACGTGTATGCATACATTAGCACAGGCACACACACGGTTTCCTGATTCTTGCCCTCGGACGTTTCACATTCTGATGGGAAAGACAGACATGAATCAAATGATCCCATCAATGAATATTAAAACACAGCTGTGATTAGTGCGGAGCTCTCTGGTGCTCTACGAGCTTGCAATGGGGGCTTGAGCCGGTCTGGGGTGAGCAGGCGTGGGACAGGGAAGCCTTCCCAGAGCACAAATGGAGCGGGAGATGGGAAAGATGACCAGGCATTGCCCAGGCAGACAGAAGGGGCAAGCAAAGCCCCTGCAGAACCATGGCTTGTGCCAGGCCAGGGAGGTCAGCTTACCAGGGGCAGAGCAGTGAGGGGCCAGGAGGACTGTGGACATAGGAAAGATGGGAAGATGACTGAGCTAGCAGCCCTGAGGGCAGCTTCCTGCTCCGATATCCCGGACCAGAAGCTCCCAGTGCGGTCAAGTGGCTTTGCAGCTAACATTATGAAACATCAGTGGGTTAAACTTAATTTGGGGCTAGATCAGACGCTATCATATACCTGCACAAAGAGCAGTGGGTACCAGAAAACTGATCACTGAAAATAGTCTATCCATCAGTTTTATTTTTCTGCTATTTGAAGAACACTGCCATGGTTGGGTTTGAGTAATAGTAAACTTCAGCCCAACACACAGAGCAACAGTTTTCCATGGGAGGCCCCCCGAGCCCAGCTAAACTCAACACTTGCCTTTCCAGGAAACGGCATCCGTGAGGCCACCAGGCGGTAGCCTGGGAGGGGCAGTGGAATTCCTGGGCGACTGCTGAAGAGCAAATCACACACTGGTGATGGTGCCTACCGTTTTGTTCCAGAAGCAGAAGAAAATTCAGATCCAGGATCCAGGCAATATTTGTCTTACAGATATGCTAAATAATGACTTTTTTTTTTTTTTTTTTGAGACAGAGTTTCACTCTTGTTGCCCTGACTCTTGTTGCCGATGGTACAATCTTGGCTCACTACAACCTCCACCTCCCAGGTTCAAGCGATTCTCCTGCCTCAGCCTCCTAGTAGCTGGGATTACAGGCGTCTGCCACCACACCTGGTTACTCCTTTTATATTTTTAGTAGAGACATGGTTTCACTATGTTGGCCAGGCTTGTTTTGAACTCCTGACCTCAGGTGATCCACCTGCCTCGTCCCAAAGTGCTGGGATTACAGGCGTGAGCCACCGCACCCGGCCAATAGTGACCTCTTATTGGGTGGTCCTTGACTAGTAGCCGTCTGTCATCCTGACCCAGTAGTGAGCACCAAGAAAACTGAGGCTGTCTATGTCACCACTGTATCCCCAGCCTGGTTGGTGTTTGGCACAGGGAGACAACTCTGAAAATACGTAAGGAAAGAAAAAGAAGAAAAGGGAGGGGATGGTGCTTGTCATATGGAACTCTGGGAATATCATGTTATAGCTTAAACTGCTACATCAACTTTTACGAATATTAGATATTGACTTACCTAAAGTTTGTATTGCTTTCTTTAAGATCATGGTGGGTTTAGGGATGAGTGATTTAGATAATTCAGGTCTCCCTCTATAAAAAGTTTATCTACAGGCCGGGCGCAGTGGCTCACGCCTGTAATCCCAGCACTTTGGGAGGCCGAGGTGGGAGGATCACAAGGTCAAGAGATCAAGACCATCCTGGCCAACATGGTGAAATCCCGTCTCTACTAAAAATACAAAAATTAGCTGGGTGTGGTGGCACGCACCTGTAATCCCAGCTACTCGGGAGGCTGAGGCAGAAGAATCACTTGAACCTGGGAGACAGGGGTTGCAGTGAGCCGAGATGGCACCACTGCACTCCAGCCTGGCAACAGAGCGAGACTGTGTCAAAACAAAACAAAACAAAAAGTTGATCTACAAGAGTGGAGATGAAGACATTTCCCCTTCCTCGATAATATTTTTCTTGCAACAAACTTTGCCATCCAAGATCATTCCTTCTGGTAACAGAGGGATGGAAGAAGGAAGGAAAAGGAAAAGGAAAAAGCAATTCCTCAAGCATCTCTGGCACCCGCTCTGTGCCCAGCCCTGTGCTAAGCCCAGGTTATCCAGGGAATGGCAAGTGGGGCATTCCAGGCACCAGGTAATAATTGAACACAACAGACATGGGTTGCCATACCAGGGCTCCATCTGCAATGTAAGCAGGAAAATATTCCAAGCCATGCAAATGATTCACAAATGACCCTTGGACACGGGCAGGGACAGGCAGCTGACCTCTAGAGACAGGTGACCTGCCTTCCAACCCTGGCTCTGTTGCTTTCTTGTTTGGTCAAGTTTCCGCTCTGCTCAGAGCCTCGGTTTCCTTGGCTGTAAAATGGGACCACCAAGTGTTGGCAGGGCTGTGTGAGCAATGAGTGGGATGAGTTGTATAAAGACCTCAGCTCCAAGCACAGCTCTCAGGGGTGGGGAGATTAATTTTAGCTGGGGGCAACTGGGAGGGTTTTTTTGAGTGGGATTGACGTAAGTCCCTAGAATCAGGGCAGGACTGCACAGGCGAGGCACAGGGCAGGGGAGGGCGGCTGCACACCCACAGTGAGGGCTCTCTGTGCACAGGTAAGGCTGGTTTGTCGTTGATGATGGTAGCGGAGGTGACTACTCCCTTTGAAAAGTGATTTATTTTTAAATGAGGGCTGACCACAGACTTAGCCACTTCATGCTCTGTTACTACCTGCCTCGGTTTATTCAAACTTCTGCCAAGCTTTGGGTTCAATAAAAGTCACCAGGAAATAACTGCCTCACACTTCATAGGAAACCCATTAAAAAAAATTCATGCACCATTAAGGACCGGTGAGAGGAAGCCAACCTCAGGCCTTCACTGAACTGCAACTACTGGCCTGAGATTGCCCTCAGAGCAGGGACTCAAAGGGTAGATACATGCGGGAAATTTCGCATCTCCATGTTAATTTGGTTGCAGCAAGATGGAGGGAAGAGCACAGATGGTCAGGTAACAGACAGAGGGCTGCGGCTCAGATCCCCGCCATCTTTGCGTGGTGCTCAGGATGAATGAAATATACCAAAAGGATGACAGATATCACCATCTGGAAGCTTTTACCAGCAACCTTTCTGTTCCACGATGAAGAGAAATTTGACCACAGCTGTCAAGAGACTTTTGAAAGTTCATGCCCTGTGGCCCAGTCCTCTTCCCTATTTTAAGCCTTCTGGCTAAGAAGTCATTTGCAGGACGGGCACCGTAACTCACACCTGTAATCCCAGCACTTTGAGAGGCAGAGGTGGAAGGATCGCTTGCGACCAGGAGTTTGAGACCCATCTTGGGCAACATGGCGAAACCCTGTCTTTACAAAAATAACCAAAATATTAGATTGAGGCTGCAGTGAGCTGTGATCGTGCCACTGCACTCCAGTCTGAGTGACAGAGGGAGACCCTGTCTCAAACAAACCAAAGAAGTCACTAGTGGTTCTAGCAAATAGTTTAGATAACAAGACCCTTCAGAGGAGAGTTATTTATTAGTAACAATTGGAAGAAATTAAATATCCAACAATAGAATGGACAACAATAGAATTTGTTCAACAAAATTCAGCATAGAGATAGCTACTATTCCTGGTTCAGGAGGTTTTCTCATAATGATATGGTGAAATGTCAGTGATAAAAATACTCAGTAGGGGCAAATATACAAAATTCTATGTTTAAAATATGCCTCCAAATTTGTGTGTGTTTTTTTTTCTTTTTTTTTTTTTTTTGAGACAGAGTCTTACTCTGTCACGCAGGCTAGAGGAGTGCAGTGGTGTGATCCTGGCTTACTGCATCCTCCACCTCTCAGGCTCAAGTGATCCTCCCACCTCAGCCTCCAGAATAGCTGGAACTACAGGCATGCACCACTATGCCCAGCTTATTTTTTATTTTCTTGTAGAGACAGGGTTTCACTATGTTGCTCAGACTGGTCTCAAATTCCTGAGCTCAATTGATCCGCCCACTTCAGCCTCCCAAAGCGCCCAGATTACAGGTGTGAGCCACTGAGCTTAGCCCAAATTTGTGTTTTCAACAAAATGTGTGCAAGGAGCTTATTTCATTCAGCCTTGTGTTGTAATTAACTGATTGCCTGTGTCCTCCTGCCCCCCAGCTATAAACTGTTAAAGGACTACATGAGTAACTTATCGCTGTATTAAAAGAAAGAATGGAGTGGTGGGAGGGGGGAAGTGGATTATCAGAGAATCTGAGTCATTTATTTTAAAATAATAGTAATAGTATACATTAGTGAGTATTTGGTACATGCCAAATTTTGAACTGAGTTCTTCACACACTTGTTGCTTAATCCTTACAACTCTATTATGTTAAGATGATGCAGTTAATTAGGGCAATGTTCTCAAAATGTGGTCCCTGGAACCAGCAGCATCAGCATCACCTGGGAATTTGCTGGAAATGCAGCTTCTAAGGTTCCACCCAGACCTACTGAATCAGAAACCCTGGGAGGCAGGAGCCAACAATCTATGCTTGACCCAGCTCTCCAGGTGCTCCTGACGCAAACTCAAGTTTGAGAAGCCTGGACTGGGGCGACAGGCAGCTCAGGGTTATTGAGGGCAGCCTTGAAATTGAGGATTAAAAGTTCTGTCCTGGGCTGGGCGCAGTGGCTCACGCCCATAATCCCAGCACTCTGAGAGGCTGAGGCAGGCAGTGAGACCCTGTGACTACTAAAAATACAAAAAATTAGCTAGGTATTGTGGCACGTGCCTGTAATCCCAGCTACTTGAGAGACTGGGGCAGGAGAATCACTTGAACCCGGAAGGTGGAGGTTGCAGTGAGCCGAGATGGCGCCACTGCACACCAGCCTGGCGACAGAACAAGACTCTGTCTCAAAAAACAAACAAACAAAGTTCTGTTCTAACCCAATCAATGTAAGACCACCTGTAGCCTGACAAAATCAGATTTATTGGCCCATTGCAATGAAGGAGAACACACACCAGAGGAACCAAACAAAGGACAGGATGGTGCTACTATGGAATTTTGGAGCAGGATGGAATTCAGGTAAAATGTAAATGAAACAATGTTTTGATTGGCTCAAAGCAAAGCAGAAGTGTGTGTAAAAAAAAATCAACATCAAGCCTGGGCCACAAATTGGATCCAGAGCTCTATTTCCTTGGAAACTACAAAATTAAGCTAGATTCGGAATGTTGGATCCAGAAAGCGCTATCCGAAGCTCTGTGCCTGGGCTGGAAATCAGGGCTTCCTCTCTGTTGACGTGACTGAGACCCTCAGGGCAAGAGCCTGGTGTTTCATTCATACATTTCATCTCTCTCCAAAATTCCTACCGACAACATTTCAAACAGCAAAGCTTCATTAGTCTGATTTTAGAGAACAAGGCTTCTTCTCATTGAGTAAAAAAGCAGTTGTCACTTAAAGATGCGAGTTGCCATGACCTTGTACAGCTGCAGGGTGTCCTTGGGAGAAATACGTTTCCTAGTAACTTTGCAGCCAGCTTTACTGATGTCTGTCATTCCAGACTGACCAACAGCTGGCCAGGTTTATACCTTCTCAATCCAAGCTAATTTTTTTACTTTCTCAGCTAGAAGGTATTAAATGAGTTAACATTCATAAATTACTTAGAACAGTGTGGCAAATAACATAAATTATAATTTATATTACATAAACATGAATTAATATAAGTAAAATATAATACATAATATAATGTTGTAATTAGTACAAATATTAATTAACTAATTAAAGTAATAAGGATTATGGTTACATAAAAAGAAGAAGAGGTTGGGCGATGGCTCATGCCTGTAATCCCAGCACTTTGGGAGGCCGAGGTCAGCAGATCGCTTGAGCTCAGGAGTTTGAGACCAGCCTGGTCAATATGGTGAAACCCTATCGCTACAAAAAAATACAAAATCAGTCAGTCTACTCCGGAGGCTGAAGTGGGAGGATCACATGATCCCGAAGAGGCTGAAGCCGCAGGAACAAGCGACTGCACCACTGTGCTGCAGCCCGG